AGCCTGATCCTCAGGGCTGGCCCTTCACCTCAATTCAGTCACAGGGAAGTGGGCAGCTCTCCTAGACAGTGTGAGGTTACTGTTTCATCAGTGTTGCCTGGCTGACTGGCTTGGCACTCTGGGTAGGGTAAAGACCTTGCGGCTGGTAGGGAAAGCTGTCCTGAGACTGGTGAGGACAAGAGCACTGTGATTCTTCCTCAGGTAGGACATGGCCCTTGAACCAAGAGAGGCTATATAGGGCTGGGAAAGTGGCTCAGTGGTAGAGTGCTTGCTTTGCATGCATGAGGCCCTGGGTTCTATTCCTCAGCACCACATAAGCAAAAAAAGAAAAAAAAAGCCGGAAGTGGCGTTGTGGCTCAAGTGGTAGAGCGCTAGCCTTGAGCTGAAGAGCTGAGGGACAGAACCCAGGCCCAGAGATCAGGCCCCATGACTGTCCCCCCCCAAAAAAAAGAAAGAAAGGCTATATAGATGCCTGGCTCTGGGCCAGGAAGGACAGTACCCATTCGGGAACAGTTGCTATATTGGATAGTACATGTCTATGAGTTCATTCAGCCTCACAAAACCCTGGACGTAGTTATTCCTATTGTTCTTCTCCTGTAAGGAAACAGAGGTTTGGGGCATTTGGGTAACTCCCCAAAAGATTCCACAGAGGTAGCCTATCAGGCCAGACTCTAGCCCGGGCAGTTAGGATCTGGGCCGCTGAGCTCAGAGGCTCCATATCTATCCCTTGGTGATGGTTTGCTGTTGGGGATGCATTCAAGGAGTTCAGTACAACCTGACACTCTGTCTCAAACAACAACAGAAGGAATTATTTCTAAAATGCCACTATGATTATTTCTCCCACGTAAAGCCCATTAGTGGGCTTTTTAACACCTACACTCCTAGGGAGAGTTGGCAAAGCCATTCCAGACTCTTCTGCCTCAGAACCTGTCCTCTGGATCTTGACATTGCTATCTTTAGTCCTTGGGATGACCTTTCCACCTGTCACAAACCCTGATGACCCATGACCCCATTGCCCTCTGTGTGACACATAGTACTGGCTTTGCTATGATTTATCTGAAGCTAGCATTAGCGGCTGCTAGGATATTTCATATAATGGTAAGAGAAAGGAGACTCCAAACACATGACTGATTTTACAAAGGTGCGCATCCATGTAAAGATACAGAAAAGTTTAGCAACAACTACATCTAGATGGTTATATCACACATGATGTTTTGTCACAATTTTCTGTGTACCCTAAATTTGCCACACACACACAAACCTAAAGAGACCTCAAGTCCTGTAAAATGAATGCACATACCACATGCTGAGTATGCCGGATGTACTGAGTGTATCTGTGGAACAGAGGGACAGACCACAACTTCCCCAGCCAAGCATAGAACAGAGCTTCTGATGACTCACACCCTCACAATCATGCCAGGCAAGATCTAATCCATACACATGTGAACTGAGTAGTAAAAGGTGATTCAGGTCACCAAGTTTTGGGCTGATTTGTCAGGTGGCATTTAGTAAGTGCTTGAGAAACATCTTCATTCCTTTGTTGAATGCGTATGTGTGTGCTGGGCACTGTGCCAGACATTGAGATTCAGCACTGAACCAGACAGACAGGTCCTTACTCACTGGAACCCTGGGTAGTGTGGGGAAATGACAGAACATGCTGGAGTTATTCACGGCCTCTGGTTTCTGAGTGCTTGGTGGTACCATTAGTCAGGATGGAATGGGAGGGAGAAAGATTGAGTTTGATTGGAAAGGAGTTTGAGGTGCCTGTGGGCCATTTCAGGTGGAGATGTACAAAGAAAAATATGTTGTAGGTACAGAAAAGAAAGGTTTGGCTTGGGACTGGAAGTTAGCAATATAACAAAATACTCTGTACCAAAGAAAAAGGGCTGGGAAGATGGCTCAGTGGTAGAGTGCTTGCCTTGCATGCATGAGGCCCTGGGTTTGATTCCTCAGCACCACATAAGCAGAAAAAGCCGGAAGTGGCACTGTGGCTCAAGTGGTAGAGCGCTAACCTTGAGCTGAAGAGCTGAGGGACAGTGCCCAGGCCCAGAGTTCAGGCCCCATGATTGAGAAAGAAAGAAAGAAGACAGAGGAAGTGCTGTAGAAATTAGGAAGAAGAGGAGATATTTTGTTTTGAAGATCAACTGGACACTGGGTTTGAACCTGTAGAGGTGAGAGGAGAGGGCACATCATACAGAATGAACAGGACGCACATCAGCATAGGGCAAGATCATAAAGTCTTGAATGTCAGACCAAGAATGCTGTAGTGCTTCATTAGGAGCTGGGCAGCAATCTGAGTAGTGACATGATGCATACTTGGTATGGAGATGGGTAGTTATATGCAACAGGATGAGTTTTGAAGTAGAAATCAGGAGATATTGGGTCTAAGTAGCCAAGTATGTTTGCAACATGACTTTAACTCTAGTAACTAAAAGGCTGTGGCAAGAGAATTGAGAGTTCAAGGCTAGCCTGAGCTACACAGTGAGAACTTGTTTAAATACACACACACACACACACACACACACACACACACAGAAATCTGTTCTAGTCTCAGCTCTTCCATTTACTGAACCAGGATGTAAGACAAATCATTACTCTTCTCTAAGCCATACTGCTTCACTCAAAGTAGGAATAAAACTACCTGTGTTTCACATGAATCCTAATTAAGAGCTAGTGAAAACAAGTATAATTAAAGTGCTAGGAAGAATGTAAATGCTGCACAACGGTGAGTTAGCTATTGTGACAATGAGGCTTGTATTAGCCAAAAGATGATGCCAGGATCCCTGGCTGGTAGGTGAATTACAGATGGCTTCTTCTTCTTTTTTTTTTTTTCTGTCAGTCATGGGGCCTGAACTCTGGGCCGGGGCATTGTCCCTCAGCTCTTCAACTCAAGGCTAGTACTCTACCACTTGAGCCACAGTGCCATTTCTGGCTTTTTCTGCTTATGTGGTGCTAAGGAATCAAACCCAGGGCCTCATGCATGCATACTACCACTGAGCCACCTTCCCAGTCCACAGGTGTCTTCTTAACCTTTGTCCTCGCCCCCATCTTGGAGAGGAGATTGACAGATATCAAGCCAAGTGTCCTCTGGCAGCTGGCAGACCATCCTGTTCTTGATGCAACCCTTGAACTCTCCCACATAAAAAGGCCATGTTATTTAGGCTCATGTTCAGCAGAGAGCTATGCCAGCAGCTACAAAACAAGGCTATAAACTAGTGTGCCCTCAAGGAGTTCGCAGGCTAGTTGGGTCATAAAGGCTTGTACATCAAAAAAACAAAAGTAGAAACTGCACAGTTATAATCCCAGCACTCAAAAGCCAGTTTGGGCTACATAATGAGACTCTGTCCTTAAACAAACAAAACACCCAACAGTATAGCCAGGTATGAACCAGTTGCTCACACCTATAATCCTAGCTACTCAGGAGGCTGAGATCTGAAGATTGTGCTTGAAAGCCAGCCAGGGCAGGAAAGTCTATGAGACTCTTATCTCCAGTTAACCACCAAAAAGGCAGAAGTGGAGTGCTAGCCTTGAGCAAAAAAGCTCAGGGACCATGTTCAGGCCCTGTGTTCAAACCCTGGGACCAGCACAAAAACAACAACAATAAATACATTTCAGTACACATGGTAGCATCTGATAATGAGCCAAATGAGTGGTCAAGACCCTGTCTGGTATACAACACAAAAGCTAGAGGCCAATTGTCCAGGACAGACTTCAGGGAAGCAGGAAAAGATGGGAGCAAGACCATGCAAACTAATGAGGTTTGAAAAGGAGGGGGAAGGAGAAAAAGGTTTGTCAGCCCACTGCTTCCCCTCGACACTCAAAAGTTAACACTAAGACTTCATCCAATGTAGCAGTGAAAAACAAATGCGAAATGCCAGCTTCAGGTGACTGCATCTATAATCCTAGCTACTCAGGAGGCCGAGATCTGAGGATCATGGTTTGAAGCCAGCCTGATAGGAAAATCCATGAGACTCTTATCTCTAATTAACTACCAGAAAACCAGAAGTGGCACCATGGCTCAAAGTGGTAGGGTGCTAGCCTTAAGCACAAAAGCTCAGGGACAGCACCCAAGCCCTGAGTTCGAGCCCCATGACCGACCAAAAACAAGAACAACAAAAGCAACAAAAAGTGAAGAAAAGGAGATACAACTTTAGGTGTTTCATTAGGATGGTCATTGTCAAGAAAATAGAAAAAAAATGTTGGCAAAGATGCGGAGGAAACAGGAACATTTGTGCATTGGTCCTAGAATGTCAACTGTGGAAAGCAGTATGTTAGTTCTTCAGAAAGGCAACCGTAGAATAACCTTAGAATTTATCATGTAATTCCACTTCTGGCATAGAACAAAAGATCTGGCTGTGGAGGAGATGTTTGTACACTCATAATCACAGTACCATTATTCCCAGCAGTTCACAGGTGGAAGCAACCCAAGGTATTTATGAACAGATAGGTGGATAAACAAAATATCCCAGCTGGTAGAATTTACTCAGCCTTCTAAAGGAAGGGAGCCAGGTGCTAGTGGCTCACACCTGCAATTCTAACTTCTCTAGAAGCTGAGTAGTTTGTAGTTTGAAACCAGCTGGGGCAGAAAAGTGTGTGAAACTGGTAGGTGCAGTTAACCAGCAAAAAAGCCAGCAGTGGAGATGTAGCTCAGTGGTAGAGCACTAGCCTTGACTGAGAAAGGCCAGGGAGAGGATGAGGCTCTGAGTTCAAGCCCCAGTACTGTACAAAAAAATAAAAAGAAGGAGGAGGAGGGGGTTCATTCAGACATAGGGCTACAACATGGAGGAGCCTCTGGCACATGGTACTCGATAGATAGATAGATATCTGGGGTACTCAGAGATGGAAAGAATGGTGGGCAGGACTGGGGGGAAGAGGGTGTGGGGGAGTTAGAGCTCCTGTTTGGGATGATGGAAAGGGAAAGGTGGGTTTGCAATCTCCAGGCACTGGCCTAGGGAGGACAACCAGGTGACGCCCTCCCTCATGTCTTCCCGTGTCACCAGCAACAGGCCTCACTTGGCGCCATGGCTTCTGCAGAGCCCCTGACCGCGCTGTCCCGCTGGTACCTGTACGCCATCCACGGCTACTTCTGCGAGGTGATGTTTACCGCGGCCTGGGAGTTCGTGGTGAATTTTAACTGGAAGTTTCCGGGCGTCACGAGCGTCTGGGCCCTGTTCATCTACGGCACCTCCATCCTCATCGTGGAGCGCATGTACCTGCGCCTGCGCGCGCGCTGCCCGCTGCTGGTGCGCTGCCTCATCTACACGCTCTGGACCTACCTGTGGGAGTTCACCACGGGCCTCCTCCTGCGCCAGTTCAACGCCTGCCCTTGGGACTACTCCCAGTTCGACTTTGACTTCATGGGCCTCATCACCCTGGAATACGCGGTGCCCTGGTTCTGTGGGGCCCTCATCATGGAGCAGTTCATCATTCGCAACACCCTCCGCCTGCGCTTTGACAAGGACGCGGAGCCTGGGGAGCCCAGTGGCCCTCCAGCCCTGGCCAATGGCCACATCAAGACTGACTGACGGGGGCAGGGCCTGGAGAGGGGTGGGGGTGGGCTCCCTCATGGAACTCGTGGACAGAGAGGCCAAGCTGTTCAGCACAAGCCCTGGGCCTCCCCCTGGTAGAGCAAACGGCCCCCGTATTCTCTATGGAAGGATGATCTTGGGGCCACAGAGGGACTTTGGAGAAGGGCCACGAATCTCAGCCCAGCTCAGCCCACCATAGGGCTGCCAGCCAGAGGTTTGTGGCTGAGCAACGGTGGAACTACAAGGATGGACTTGGGAAGCAGCGGGCCTGTTACTGGCTAAGAAACATTGAGACTGGGGTTGCAGGTGGGAGGCAAGCCCAAGGAAGCAATGGCTACCTCTGTAGCCACCTGCCCACCTCCCCTATGGATTTCGCTGGGCTTTGGCTGGTTCCATTAGGCAATATTCAGGTGCTTGCTTGCAACCAATACCTCCCTGGGGGCCTCTACGCTGCAGCCTCAGACTGACTGGGCGGCCAGGAGGCTGCTTGGTGGTTGAGATGGTGTGCAAAGGCTGGGGAACCATCTTCTGCTCCTCTCTCCTCCCCCAGGGCCCCATGCTGCTCCCTTGGCCCTTTGGGGCCCCCCTCCCCCTCCCCACACCCCCATGGTGCTGGATTCCCACCAACCTTGGGCTTTTGGAGGTTTTCATCCCCGTGTGTTCGGTGGCGTTTCCCCTTCTCTCTTATGTTCAAGGCCTTTGCCACTAGCTGCCCTTTTCTCCACGTCAGTCACTGTCCCATCCCATGTTCTCAACCCCCTTGCCAACACAGCAGCTGCCATAGGTGAAGCCCTGAGACAGACCTCCACCTCTGCTTGCCTGTAGCCTTCCTCCCTCATCCCCCCTCCCCACCTGCCATTCTCTCACTGGCCTGATGCCTAGGGGAGGTTCTAAGTTGTCTCCCAGCTCTGGTGGGGGGGGGGAGCTGGGGCAGTGCTTTCTCCCGGCTGGGGCCCTACTGAAAATAGTATTTATTCCCCAGTGCACAGCTCAGCTGAGAGGGCCCCTGTGGATCCCAATGGGAGCCTAGAGACAAATCAGTTCCATGGGGGGAAAAAGCAAAGCTCCAGGTCATATTTGAGTTTGAAAATGGATTTTCAAGCCCGTCAGATTCCTAGGGGCCCGGAGCTCTATGGAAATGAGGAACCGAAAGAGGACTCTTTGGAGCCTCCCTCTAACAACAATGGATGGGTTCTGATTCTACCATGGCCCAGCTCTGCAGCAAAATCTCAGGGCTGCCCCTTTTCCAACCCTTCCAGCAAGGCTGACCCACTGAGTTTTGTCCCTCCAACAGTATTAGCCATGCCACAACTCATGGGCATCGTCATCTCGGTTGGCTTCCCTTTCCATGACAGGTCCAATGCTGGCAGTGGACAGGTAAGATCTTCATTCCGGGCCCTCTTGGGCTCTGTCCCTCATTCTTGAGGGAAGGGGTCTATAAGCAAATGTGCCATCCTGTGAGACATGCTCTGTTGGTCACCCTAGGATTAGGAGGTGAAAGCTAACCTTTCCTTTCTTTTAGCATTTAGATAATTAAAAAGAATCTCCTCCTGCGTTGTTCTGTCTGGGTCATACAGACCACACCAGCCAGGGCAGCTAGCTACCATCTGATGCCTGGGTCCAGAGAAAGGCTTGGAGACTTGGCCTTTGGTAGCACTTTTTTTCCCCTGCAGTTCTGTCTGGGGACAGGTCTCCAGGTGGTTCCCAGTCTGGTTCTCAAATCTCAAAATGCACACAATGGGTGGCTAGCCCTGCATTTGATCTTGTGACCCCAGTTTCTGGGCATCTAGGGCTCCTAGTGTTCAGATTTTCTTGAGGGAGGGGGTATTTGCTTTCCATCTGTAGGTGGGGAGGATCCCTAGTTTCCACTGGACAGTGGTTTCCCCCAGCTCTGTGCTATCAATCTCTTGCAATCTCCTGTGTGAACAACCTCCTTCTGAATGAATCTGGTGATCAATTTGCTGAGCTCTTGCCAGCCGAAGAGTTCCCTAATGCCAGCCCAAAAGCCCTTGGAGAGCCCCCCCCCAGGTCTTACCACTCAAGATGTTGCCTTGTAGGCATTCCCTGGCACCAAGTTCTTTCCAGGTCCTCGAAATCCTAAGCCCTGGAGTTCCTGGAGTGGGCTTGTGTGCCTGGCAACATTCAGCATTACAAATCTGCTTCCTTTAGGTGCCCTCCCCTCAGTTGCTCCTATGACTCCTTATGGAACACAGAGCAACCCCCTCCGTATGGCCCCTTCCCCCCTGAGCTAGGGGAAGTTACAATACATGGCCTGACCACAGGAGCTGCAGGCTTGGATCCCTCTACAGGCAGCCCATACTTCAACTCTACTGTGTATCTTCTGGACTCCATTTCCTTAGTGCCCAGGGCTTAGAAGTTCAGTGTGATGCTAGTCCCGCTGTTGATAGCATTTTGGGAGTGCTGGTGCAGGGTCTGCTGGCCTTTTATGAGTCTCTGGAATCCTGAGCCACTCCACTGGCCATGGCAGAATCTCCGAGTTACATATCACAAACATGCATGGTTGAGCTGCTTTGGATGTCTGCTAGGCCTCCTGCCCTGTCCCTTCCTCAATGCCAGCCAGCCACAATGGCCTATGCTTATTCTCAGCAATAATATGTAGGGAGGGCCCTTTGTGCTGGCCACTAGCTTGTTCTGTATGGGGTCTCCCAGGAAGGCACTTGCTGGGTGGGTCAGTGAGAATGTGTTTATGAAGCTCTGGGCTATCCAGAAGCTGGGAGCAGAGGCCAGAGCTCCAGGCCTGGCAGAGCTCCAGGCCTCAGCTTTGGGAGGGAGCCTCTGAGGTGAGTGGGGCTGTGGTCCCCACCTAGTCAGCTCTTGAGAAAGGCATCTGACTGGTTTGTGAATCCATTGCCTGCTGTGTCTCTGTTGGTCTCTGTCTCTTCTGTTTCATATCTGTGCACATAAATATACTGGTGTTGTGTTCAAAGATTGACTCTGACCTGTCTTTTCCACTGTGGAGCTCCCAGGGGCTGCTGGAGGGGCCAGACTCTTCCTTTCCTGTATGACATCATCCCAACTCGAGGAGGGCTCCTGGGAGGTATGGGAAGGTCCCTGCCAGTCTTTACTAGCTCTGTTCCAACCCAATTGAGTAGCCTGAATCTACTCCACTAAATCTCCAGCCCAGGCAGAGCAGGATCTGGTCCAGGCCTTCTGTCCTAATCTACCAGGTGATGAGGACTCCCAGGTAATATGTAAAGTGGTTGCATGCACTTGCTCACGAGATGAGCTCCTGTTGAACACACTCACCATGACTTGGAATGAGGGCCTGAAGGAGGAAGCTCATGGTGACTCAAAGAGCTAAGAGGCCTTTACATTGCATCAAGTTTCATTTGGATGGAACAGAGTTCTGTGCTTCTCCCTGACGATTGCTGTCCTCAAGAAGTGCCTTTAAAAGGAGTGAATCCTTTCCTATATTCGGTATATCTGCTCTCTCCACCTCCCCCATTCTCTTTGCTCTACCTTAGGCCTCTGCCAACTTAACTACTTCCTGGAAGAGGATGGAGGATTTAGAAGTTGCTCAGCTTGCTCAACCAAACCAAATGACCTGGATCCTGTGCTGTAGCCAAGTGATAGAACAGGGCAGTGTTCCAAATCACCAGGAAAGCACTCTGCTTCTTCCTGTCCCAACTCACTTGATGGTATTCATTTCTTTAAATAAAAATGAGCTAGCCTTGAGCTGAAGAGCTGAGGGACAGTGCCCAGGCCCAGAGTTCAGGCCCCACAACCGGACCCAAAAATAAATAAATAAATATGAACTAGCTTTGCATAAGACGAGCTAAGCACCAGTGGCTCATACCCGTAATCCTAGAAGGAGGCTGAGACTTGGAGGATTTTTTTTTTCCTGTTGGGCACAGGGCTTGATCTCTGGCCCTAGGTACTGTCCTTGAGCTCTTCAGCCCAAGACAAGCACTCTACCACTTGAGCTACAGCGCCACTTCCAGTTTTCTGGTGGTTTATTGGAGATAAAGAATCTTATGAATTTTCCTGCCTGGGCTGGCTTTGAACCAGGATCCTCAGATCTCAGCCTCCTGAGTAGCCAGGCTTATGGGCATAAGCTACCAGTGCCCAGCTGGAAGACGGTTTAAAGTTAGTTGGGGGAAATAAAAACATCCAGGAGACACTATTTCCAATTAATTGGCAAAATGCTAGACTGGGTAACTCAAGTGATGGAGTGCCAACCGTGAGTGAAAAGGCCAAGTGAGAGGGAGATGTCCTGAGTTCAAGCCAAAAAAAAAAAAAAGTTCCCAACAGTTATTTATAGGCAAGCATGTTACAGGAAAACATATTGAAATAATCTACTTTATAAAGCTTGAGACAGGGCCCAGAGAGAAGCCAAACTTTTTATTTTTATTTTTTTGGTCCATTGTGGGGCTTGAACTCTGGGCTTGGGTGCTGTCCTTCAGCCCTTCAGCTCAGGGCAAGCACTCTACAACTTTACCCACAGCCACTTCTGGTTTTCTGGTGGTTAATTGGAGATTAGAGTCTCAAGGACTCAAAGTCCTCAAGGACTTTGAACCTCAATCCTCAGATCTCAGCCTTCTGAGTAGCTAGGATTATAGGCATGAGCCAGCACCCTGCTAAAAAACTCTTTTTAACTAGCCAATAAAGTGGGTGCCTTTCCTTCTTTCTTCCTTTCTTCCTTCCTTTCTTTCTTTCTTTCTTTCTTTCTTTCTTTCTTTCTTTCTTTCTTTCTTTCTTTCTTTCTTTCTTTTTGCCAGTCCTGGGGCTTCAATTCAGGGCCTGGGTACTGTCCCTGAGCTTCTTTTGCTCAAGGATAGTGCACTACCACTTGAGCCACAGCGCCACTTCTGGCTTTTCTGTTTATGTGGTACTGAGGAATTGAACAGAGGGCTTCATGTGTGCCAGGCAAACACTCTACCACTAAGCCACATTCCCAGCCCAAGGACTTTCTTGCTTGATGGTTCTGTTCCTCTCCTCTTCTACCTCATCTTCAACCAGTCCAAAGAGATTGTCTAAGGATAATGCCCCAAGAGAGCTAAGGTCAAGGACCTATATCTTCTGGAATCTTCCCAGTCTTTACCAAAAGCCTAATGTTTAACAAGAGTGAAGAAATGACCATAGCGTTGGCTCCCTGGGGTAGGCATCTCAGAAGGGTGCATTGTGCTCTGATAAAAGCAAGGGACAAGTAGACTGTCTTTTGTTTTGTGTCTTTCCCTCTCTCCCTCACCCCCTCCCTTCTTCTCTCCCCCTCCCTCTCCCCCCTTTCTCTCTACTTCCCTCCCTCCCTCCCCAAATCTCTCTTTTGTTAGTTGTGGGGCTTGAACTTGGGACTTGGACATTGTCTCTGAGATTTTTCTGTTCAAGGCTAGCATTCTACCACTTTGAGCCACAGCACCACTCCTGGTTTTCTACTGGTTAATTAGAGATGAGAGTTTCTCGGACTTTACTGCCCCAGTTGGCTTTAAACTTCTATCATCAGATCTCAGCTTCCTAAGGTGATAGGAGTGAGCCACTGGAACCTAGCCTAGACTTTTTAACAGGTTTACCTAATGTAGATAAAGGATTCACTCCCTCTAAAGGCACTTCTTGAAGAGCAGCAAAGGGAAGCCAGTAACCTGAGGTTCAAGGTTAAAGACCTGAGCTAGGTCTTTAACAGCTGCGGTGGCTTCTTTCCCTGCTAGCACTATAGCCACAGGTACCAATTGCAGCCAGACGCTGCACTATGTAGATCTATGCATTCTCTCATGTTCTCCTACTTTCTGTGGATGCCATTATATCCATGCTTTTTTTCTGAAAAGATTTGTTTTTGTTTTTGGGTCGTGGGGCCTGAACTCTGGGCCTGGGCACTGTCCCTCAGCTCTTCAGCTCAAGGCTAGCGCTCTACCACTTGAGCCACAGTGCCACTTCCGGCTTTTTTTTCTTTTTGCTTATGTGGTGCTGAGGAATCGAACTCAGGGCCTCAGGCATGCAAGGCAAGTGCTCTACCACTAAGCCACCTTCCCAGCCCCTTCTGAAAAGGTTTGATGCCAATCAGTCGGAAATCTTGAATTTACCAAACCACTTTTTTCTTTTTCTTTCTTCTGTTTTCTTTCCTTTCTTTCTTTTTTTTTTTTTTTGGAGGGGGGGGTAAGATCCCACTATGCTGTACAGGGTGGCCTCGAACTCCTGGGCTCAAGTGATCCTCTTTGTCTCAACCTTTCCAAGTAGCTGGACTACAGATATGCATCAGCGTTTCACAAATCATTCGTTTCAACACAAGCCTAAAACTTTTCATAGAAGATTTTTCAAGCTTAGATCCTCTTGGCCTCTGCTTCTCTAGTGCTGGGATTCTAGATGCATACCACCACACAAGCTGTAGCAGTTTTAGAGTCCACTCATATGAATACTACTTACAAATGAAAGCATTTAGGAGTGGGAGGGTACAGGAAGCAGGGAACTGCGAGGCAGGTTGTATGGAGTGTCATCTTACCAAGTCTTAAAACAACTGGCACAAAGCTTCTTCCTCGTGGGGGAAGGTTGTAAAATTTTCACCTTGGTAATTCTGGATTTAGCCTTGACAACCTCCCCCAGCCCTCCCACACACAGCCTTATTTTTGTCCTGGACCTTTTCTCCTGGATCCTATTTCCTGTGCTGGGGGGTGAAGCCTGAGCCTCTGGTTGTAGGTGCTCTTGGAAGGTTTGATACTACCAGATGAAACTTCCTTCTAGCAGGGTAAAAAATTTCTGCCAGGCACCTTTCAGAAACTCAAACTGGTCTGACAAGTGACCTGTTTAGCTCCTCAACTTCCGTTTCAGACTCCTCCAGCCTGTTAGGGGCCAGGCTAGTGAACTTGTCACTAATAGCTAACCAAAGAGGAAGAGGTCAATGGGAGACTGCTTGCTTCTCTTCAGGGGAACCTGCTCAAGTGTGGGGCCTGGGAACGATTTTCAGTTCAGACTCAGTGCAGTGCTGAGAGTCCTCTGATGCTTTCAGAGGGGGGGCTGGATTCTCACGGACTGGAAATTCCTACCTGGGTACAGTGTTGAACTAGGCCAGCGCATCAGGGTGCTAAAGGGACCTCTTCACAAGTGAACTCCTCTCATGAGCCTATTCTAAAGGTCAGGCTGGATGTTCCAGAGTACCAGAGATCAGCAATCCTGTTCGGACTACAGTGATCCTTGCTGTATCTGTGCCCATGCCATGGAACGACTCACTGTCTGCTCCCTCTTTCCAATTTGTTAGTCCCTGTAGAGTCCCGCCACCATCCCCTAAGAGTCTTCGGGCCTTAGCTAAAGACCAGTTCCATTGCTTTGTTCATTGGTTCATTCAAGTGACGTATTTTCTTGGTTATAGCAAAGGTGGCGTCTTAGAGCCAAACATAACAGAGGGAAAAGTGTCATCGATGGGCTGACCTGGCTCTTTGCCTCTTTGCCTCTAAGTAGAAAGGAAATGTTCCAGCTTACAAGGGTCCACCAGGTAAAGAAAAATGATTCAGCTTGGTTCACAGTTTAGGAGGTTTCAATCCATGACTCTTGTGTGGGGCCTGTGGGGCCCAGTATATCTTGGAGGAGTACAGTACAGGGGCAAAGGATGTCTATTCATTTCATGGCCAGATACAAAAGAGAAGAAAAGGAAGAGCTAGGGTCCTAATATCCCTTTCAAAAGCTACACCCTGCCAGATGCTGGTGGCTCACACCTGTAATCCTGATACTCAGGAGGAGGCTGAGATCTGAGCATTGCAATTCAAAGCCAGCCTGGGCAAAGAAAGTCTGTGAAACACATCTCCAATTAACCACCAGAACACCCAGAAGTGGTGCTGTGGCTCAACTGGTAGAGTGCTTGCCTTGAGCTGAAGAGCTCAGTGAGTGCCTAGGGCCAGAGTTCAAGCCCCATAACCAACAACAACAACAACAACAAAAGTTACACCTGAAATGACTATCAGGCTTCCAACTCAACCCTGCCTCTTAA